TATTCCCAGTGTCACAACTGGCCAAGCTGTGGGTCACCACTGCAGCACTCACCTCCATGCTGAGCCTGCCTGCACTGTCCTGGAGGCTGTGGACTCTCATCCCTTTCTCCTCCTGGGCACTCAAGCTCCACTCCCAGTTGTCACCAGCTGTGGCTCTTTACTCCTGAGTGGGAAATCACTGCCTGCTGCTGCTTCTGCTCCACTAACCACTGCAAAAGCCTTCCTGGCACTGGGACACATCCTGTCACAACCTCCCCATCAGTATAAATAAATGCTTCTTGTACCACCTTGGGTTTTCTTTTCTACTCATGCATCTTCCCCAAACCATCAATATCCTGGACCCCTTCCCAAGCTGCCAGGGAGAGAAGTGATTCCAGCTTGTCCCTGGCACTGCAAATGCAGAAGGACAGGGAGGAATGGAGTGTCCAATCAGAGCTTACACTTCCAGGGAAGAATAAGAAACATCGGGACAGGGCTATGTGTGTCCTTCTCTGCTGAGCCCAAGGTTACTGTCCTGCAGGGGAAAACACAGGCAGCAGATCCTGTACCTCACCCACAGGGTCCCAAGTTGGCACCCAGACTCTCCCAGGAAGGCAGAAGGCAGCTGTGGTCCTCTGGCATTACAGCAAGGAGGGACAGGGACATTGGGACACGGATGGGGTTGTGGGGTGATGGTGGTGGTGGTGGAGCTGCCATCAGATGCCATCCCCTGGGACTGCTCCTCAGGGGAGCTGCTCCACAAACACTGGGCACTCAAATATCCCCATTCCTGGAGCAATGAGGAGGAGGCTCTGTCACCTGCAGGATGCAACACCCCGGTGAGGGATCTTGGGGCCTCACCAAGTTCAGCACTGAGCAGAACCTGGTGGGGCATGGGGAAGGGTGCAGATCAGAAACTCTCAAAGGGAAGCATCTCCCAGTCCTATTTAGGGGTGCAGCATCTTCCATGAGAGCCAGGCAGTGACCTTGCAGCAGCCCCTCAGTGCCACAGGCATCTCCAGCCCACTGGAGCTGGCCTGAGGCTGGCTCTGCTCCCAAGCTGCCCTTCTGCTCAGAAACAAGGGAAGTAAGAGGGAAAGCAGGGGATCTGGGGCGGGCTATTCCCTGCACTGGGGAGTTGTGCCACATCTCTTTGAGCTGTGCCCCACCTCTTTCCTTGCAGCCCTTCCTGTTGCAGTGGCACCAGTACAGGTTTTGCTGGAGAGCCAAGAAAGTGCTGTCTCAGCAGAAAGCATCAGGCAGGAGGATGTGAAATTTGGCTGGGAACAGCTCGGGTTCCGTGTTTACGAGGGCCCTTTACCCTTTCCTAACTCTGTGAGTTCCTCCGTGAGGGTGTCAGGGAGCCGCACCCACCGCGCTGTGCTGGCAGTGAGCACGCGCCCAGCGGGACCGGCAGCCTGGCATCCCTGCCCTGTCCCCACCAGAGGTAAGAGGGGCTGCAGGGTCCCTGTCTCGAGGGTGGGACTGGGGGTCCAGCAGCATGGCACACTGCTGGAGAGGGCGAGAATGAGAGGAGGATGTGGAAGAGAGAGGAGGAGGAGGAGAGGATGAAGGCAGAGGCACTGACGTGCTGCGCGCATGTGATGGAGACAGGATGGACCAGCTGATGGAAGGATTGATCCTGATGGACAGAGCCAGGACAGTCAGGCTGCTGCTGGAGGAGGAGGGAGGTCAGCTGTGTGCAGGGAGTTCCAGCCTCGGTGCAGCACAGGGTGACAGTCTGCAGGGGTGTGTGCATCTCCAGGGTTTGGGGATGCTGCACGCAGAGGGCTGGGGGCTGGCCATGGGCTTGGGCTGGCCATGGGTACTTCAGACCTCATGGCTCCATCCAGACTGAAAGTCCAACTCACACTGTGCCATCGGGGGCTACCCTGGGGTTGGAGATGAGCCTCGGGCCCATCTCCACATATCCACCTCCCCGCTGTCCTGCAGTGTGTATAGGTGGGACATTGAGGACACACGCAAGGCATCCGAGTGTTGTTGGTATATCCAGGCTCCTTTTCTCCATGTCCTGCAAGTCACGCTGCTGTGACCCCTCACTCCAGCCCTTTCTTTCACTTTCCACACTACAGAACACCGAAATGGAGAAGAGATTCTGGGAGCAGCTCTATCTGGCCCTCACCCTCCTCCTCCTGAATGTGGGCTCTGCTGTGACTGTAGAGGACCCTCACAGCTGCTATGGAGCTCCAGGCCTGCCAGGCATGCCGGGTATACCAGGCAGGGATGGCCGGGATGGACTGAAGGGAGCCAAAGGGGAGCCAGGTGAGTGAACAAAGAGGGGAACCACATGGGCTCTTGCAGGGCTGCACTGAGTCCTCAATGGCTGGTCTGCCTGGGTTTGCAGGATGTGGAGAGCATCCTCTGTAGTCAGGTGGAAGAGGCAACAGCACTCTCCTGCCTAAAGGAAGGGCTAGAGAAGCCTCTCCCCACATTCTGCCATTGACACTGACTCCCTTTCACTCCCCACCACCCCACAGGTATCCCAGCTTCTACAGAGCTAGGGCCCAAGGGCATGAAAGGGTCACCAGGCCCCCCTGGCCCTCCAGGCAAGCCTGGTCCGCCTGGGGCCCCTGGTCCAATGGGAGTCCCTGGGGCGGCAGGCCATGCCGGCCCCCCGGGAATGCCAGGCACCTCCATGCAGAAGCTGCAGTCAGCGTTCTCAGTGACCAGGCAGACCAGCCAGCACCCCTTGAAGAACGTCCCCGTGGTTTTCAACAACGTCATCACCAACACCAACCACGACTACAACATTGCCACGGGCAAGTTCACCTGCAGGCTCCCCGGGGTCTACTACTTTGTCTTCCACAGCTCCCACACAGCCAACCTCTGCGTCATCCTGCACAAAAACGAGAGGAGGATGGCCAGCTTCTGCGACCACAAGACCAACAATGTGCAGGTCAGCTCAGGGGGGACACTGCTCCACCTGGCTGCTGCTGACGAGGTCTGGCTGGGAGTGAATGACTACAATGGCATGGTGGGCATTGCCAACTCCGACAGCATCTTCTCAGGCTTCCTGCTCTTCCCAGACTAGGGCATCAGCAGAGCTCACCCCAGCACCCCAGCGCCTTCTACCTGCCCTGAACTCACTGCTCGCTGCTGGGCTCCTCCTGATGCTCCCAGTTTCTCTGCAGGGAGGGCATCAAGCCCAGCAGCCAGACCCTCCCTCAGTCTGGGGGCTGAGCCCTGGTAGCTGCTGCACAGGGGGAACAGGAACATCTGCAACATCTGCACCCAGAGTGATGGTGCTGAGCTCCTGGTCCTGCTGGCACTGCCATGTGCATCCCCCCTGCTAACCCCACATTACCTCAGAGGTCTCCCTGTTTTTCCCCTCCCCACCTGGGCTGCCTCAGGTTCAGCAGGCTGCAGCAGCCCCTTTGCCATGACCTGGCTGTGGAAAGTGTCAATAAAACGTTCCCCAGTGCACCTGGTGTAGTGCGTTGTTTCCTCCATGTGGTGTGCACAAATGTGCACATGACATCTGGCCATCTGTGTGGCATCAGAGACCCCCAAGGCTCATCAGCATCAGAGACCACCACACCCCACCCACACCTGGCTTTGCACGGGGGGTGGGACCCCTGGCTGCTGCAGGAACAGGATGGTTCCTGTGTCCCCACACAGCCCCTATCAAGAGGGCACCAAGACTCATCCAAGCAGGACCCTGATATTCCCCTTCTCTCCAAAGCTCTACAGGGGCACAGACTGCAAAGGAAACCCCAACACCATAGTGGGACATCCCTGGGGTCCCTACCAGGATGGGGCAGGGGAAGCACTCTAGCTTTCCTGAGCCAAACCAAAGGAGCTGGTGATTGTGGAGTGTGGGATCTCAGCACAGCAGTCCTGATGTGCAGAGTCACCGAGACAACCCTTGGGGGGCTCGGAGGTCCTGGAACGTGGCCAGAAGTGTCTGGTTGTTGGACTTTGATCCTGCACGGGAAACAACACCTGTATGAGGATGAGAGGATCACACGGGGATAAATGGTGAAGAGATAGATTAATTATAGTGTGAAACACAGGTTTTAGAATCTCGGTACAGGGGGGTTCTAGGGGACAAGATGGAGGAATTAGGGCGTGTCCTGTCCTTCTTCTTCTTCTTCTTCTTCTTGTCGTCCATCTTCTGTGGTGGTGGTGGCACTTTGAGATTGGTTCTTACTAAATGTGCACTTGTCAATAAGGGTGAAAGGTACTGGGAAGAAAAGGTAAATATCTTATACATAGTTTTTGGCATAAAGATAAATGACCGCCCCAAGGGCAGTCATTGTGCTCATGGCTGACATGCTCTGCGGAACTCTGTTGGGCCGGGAGAAAATATTGTAGATAAGAATGAATAAACAGCACTGAAGAGCGAAAAACCTGAAGACTCTTTTCGTCCTTTGGAGCGCGGGCTGCCCCAAGGCCATCCCGAGCCTTTCCAGGCCATTAAAAACAGCCGAGGACGGGACAGTAGAGGACACAGAGCCCACCAAAACCCAACAGGGATTTCTCCTGGTGTCACACATTGAAGGGTGGAACAAGGCAGTCTCCTCTCCAAACATCCTGTACTTCACTTCCACAAGGCAGTAGCCAAAGCAGGGAATGCTTTTCCCACAGGGCAGAATCACTTCCCATGCACAGTATTTAGGAGGGGCACGGACTCAAGGTGATGGATGCTGAGACCCTGCAGCCTCCCCTGGGCCTGCAGAGCTGGAAGCACGTGGAGCAGCCTGAGGGGTGCTGCCTGAGTGCATGCACATTTCTGCAGCTCTGTTGGGTTACCTTAAACTCATCTGGAGCTCCAAAGAGTATTGCTCATAGCAAACACCCCTGAGCAGGACCCAGGGACCCTGCAGGGCAGAGCTGTGGCTGGAGGAGCTCAGGGTGCTCTTTGGGGATGGCTTGTCCTGCTCAGCTGACAACAGCATTCGTGGAGGATGTGAAACTGCCACAGAAAAAGGACAGGAGCTAAAGATAAAAAGGGGATGTGTCCCAGATCCTTTCACAATAGCCCTTGCAGGAAACTTCTGCTTCTCTTCTCGGGCATTTCTGAGCAGGATGCTGGGGTGTCCCGCTCTATCTCCCCACCTGATGAACAGGGAGCTCAAGGTAAGAGCAAGACCGAGCCCAAGGTTCCCCCTGCAGGCAGGAGCATGTGGGGGACCCAACTCTGGCAGGGTGACAGTCACCTGCATTGCTGGCACTTCCCTGTGGCCTGGGGCAGAGAGAAACTGGGGGTGGAGGTGCTGGGCTGGGGGTGGTGGAGGGCCCTGGTGGGACCCTGACCCCTCCTGCTCCACCTGGAAGAAGGAAAACATAAAAGCAGAGATGGCAGAGTTCCAGAATTGGTTATCAGGGACTGAAAGGTGCATCAGTCTGAAAGGTGCCCTGGGGGTGCTCTCCTGCCCTGAGAAGCTCTTGTCTTCTGATGGCTGGGAGCTTGTGGATCGGTCTTTGTTCCTGCTGCACCCAAATCAGAACGGCTGTGGCTGAAGGATCCAACTCACCAATCTTTTGTCCTGCTGGCACCAGAGCTTCAGCACTGGGAAAATCCACCTGGGATGGGGGAGTTGTGACTGGGGTGCTGTGATGTCCAGATCCAGCCCCCAGATGCCCAGTGCTTGTCCACATGCACCCACACCAGGATCTGGGGGACGGAGTTGGGCAGGAAGGGCAGGAAGAAGGTCAGGCCCCAGGCATGGAAGCCCAGATAACTGTCCCATGAGGCTTGTTAGATACAGAAATGCCTCTGGCATTGAGCAGCTGTGTGGCACAAGGGGAACCCGTGGGATGGAGGAGGGAGGTTTGGGGGCTCATTGCCATCTTCGAGGACTGGCACTGTCCCTTAGACATGCTGGTGGAAGGCAAGGCCTGTTCCCTTGCAGATGACAAAACTGCTGTGGTTGGTAAGGGTTTTGCCCTGCAAGTATGGTCCTGAGATGAGATGGGGAATTTCTCCTGCAAGGCAGCAGCATGGCCACGTTGGACATCAGATCTCTGAGATAACCTGTCCCAAATATTCATGTGGCTGAAGCTGTGGGCATTTGGAAACTAGGGATGTAAGAATGACGAGAGGCTGCAAACCCTGCCTGGCCCTAGGGTTATGGTTCTTTGCTCCAGGGCCAGCAGGACAGTGAATTTGGCTCTGCAGTAGGATGTTTTCCCTCCCTGATTGTATTACCTAGACTTGCTTGCAGTCACCATCTTTCAGAGCAGCTCAGAGTGCCTTCCCCTGCCCTCCCACCATCCAGGAAAGCCCCCAACACCGTTCCATGCTCCCACAGATGTGGATCATGTGGGCTATGCTGCTCTGCCTGGCTGGAGGGCAGCCTGCCAGTGCCACGCTCTGCAGGACCTATGGCACCATCCCAGGCATCCCAGGATTACCAGGACAGCCTGGCAGCGATGGCAGGGATGGGGAGGACGGCCCAAAGGGTGAGCAAGGTAAGGAAGAGGCTGCAGGTGGGTAAAACACTGTCTTGTGACTGCCAAGAGCAGAGAAAGATAGTGCCAGGCACATGGTCCTGGGAAAGCAACCCATTTCCACCAGTTCTTTGAGGTCTTGTCAGGTGGGGATGATGGAGCACCCCAAGGAGCCTGGGGAAGGAGGGGGATGACAGCAAGGTGTGTCCCACCTGCCTGTTGGGCAGGGTCTCCACTGGCCCACACCCAGCACAGGTTTCCTTGCTCGTGCTCACTCTCTGCAGACAAATGGGGCTTGGCTGTGACCACAATGACGCTTCCTCCTCTTTCCTAGGACCCTCTGGCCAGAGTGAAGAATGGAGAGGGGAGCGGGGAGTCCCAGGAGCACCGGGACAGCCTGGGAAGGTCGGTCCCATGGGCATCCCAGGTATAACGGGCTTACCAGGTAGCATGGGACTGCCTGGCCCCGTGGGAGAACCTGGTGACTACAAGGTCACCTTCAAGTCCGGGTTCTCGGCTGCCAGGATCATGGGCTCCTACCCGCGCCGGGAGCAGCCCATCCGCTTCGAGCGCGTGCTCACCAACGAGCAGGGCCACTACGAGAACCGCTACGGCCGCTTCACCTGCCGCGTGCCCGGCACCTACTACTTCACCTACCATGTCACCTCCCGCGGCAACCTGTGCCTCAACATCAAAAAGGGCCAGGGTGCCAGCAGGGGCGAGAGGGTGGTGACCTTCTGTGACTACGTGCATAATAGTTTCCAGGTCACCACGGGTGGCGTGGTCCTCAAGATGGCCATGAATGAGTCTGTCTGGCTGGAACCAACAGAGAAGAACTCCTTGGTGGGGCTGGAAGGGTCTGACAGCATCTTCTCTGGCTTCATCATCTTCCCTGAGGCTTAGCCCACTGGAGATGTGTCTGTGGCCAATCTCTGCAGTCCCTGTAGTGCTGAGGACTCCCCTGGAAACTCTTTGCTCCCAAATTGGTGCTTGAAGCACACTGCTGCCATTCTTGCACAATAAATGACAGTTCTTTGCACTATTGGTCCCTTTCTGGATAGGATTTGCCTTTTTCCTCACAAATAATTTTCACACAATCAGGGTACTGGTTCTTGCCCTCTTGGGTGCAGCCCGGGCTCATTAGCATCTCATTACTGTTGAGTAGAGCCAGACAAGTCATGCAGTTCCTGCTGCAGACCAGAGCGAGTATCTCTGAGCCACCCAAAGAGTCCCAGCCCAGGGTTAGGAAAACATGGAGAGGCAGCTCAGCCTTTAGCAGGGGGCAGGGCAATGACAGAGTGGGAAAATTGGGGCCACTGGGTGCTGGTGGTAGGTGGGGAGATGCTGGAGGTGGTGCTGTACTGGAGAGTCCTGGCAGTGGCAGGATCTGGGGACACCAACCTCTCTCAGACTTTTTTTTGGGGGTGGTGGTAGTGACAGAAATACCCACAGAAGATTGTCAAAGCTTGTGACAAGGCAGGGCAGGTCAGCGTGGGCCAAACAACTAGATGCCATGATGGGGGTGGTGTGGAGGAGACCCCCACTACAGCCTCCAAACCCCAGCACAGAACTGTTCTCCACGTCCTGGAGCACAGCCAAGCCCTCCCAGCCTGCTCCTTATCCATAGCAGAGCTGTGGACCCTGGAATGATCAGATGAATTAAAGCTGAGGAGCCCAGGGACAGCCCTGGCCCTGGGGCAGGTGACAACCCAGCTCTGCACCTGTGTGGGTGGGCTGCCTGCAGCCCCCAGCCCATCTCGTGGGCCTGCACAGGGGCATTCAGCAATTTTTGTGGGAGTCTGGGATTTGAAAGGGTGTGGATGGAAAGGATGATGATAAAAGGCCTTGGGGAGGTGAGTGTGCCATGGGCAGATTTCATGGAGCGTCACCCCTGAGATCTCCAGGTTGGTTGTTGTCACAGACATCTTTTGTGAAAAATCCTTTCTTGGGATTTTTCTCCCTTCTGAGAAGCTGTAGCCACAGCAACAAAGTGTAAACAATGGTTATCTGCTGCTGTGGAATGCAACAGGTGGATCTGGGATTGGTCCCCTGTGGATGTTTGGATTTACTGACCACTCACGGCAGAGCTGCTCTCACTCTCTGCTGAGACACAGATCTTTGTTTATTCATTCTTTTCTATTCTTAGCTTAGCTAGCCTTCTGAGAACTTTCCTTCTATTTCTTTTAGTATAGTTATAATGTAATATATATAATAAAATAATAAATCAAGCCTTCTGAACATGAAGTCAACATTCTCACCTCTCTCTTCATCCTGCAACCCTTGTGACCACTGTCACAGTTTGTGAGTCCGGGCCCCCAGCTCTGGGCTGCTCGGGTGTCAGCGCAGGACAGTGCCCGAGGCTGTTGTGACCAGCTCGGGGGCTCCTGTCCGGGGCCATTTGCCGGCAGGTGGCACTGGAGACTGGCTCAGCCCTCGCCTGGCAGGGCCAGCATCCTCGGGCACAGCTGCGAGCCACGGGCAGCGCCCGCGAGGGCTGGCAGGAGGCGGGGGCAGGATTAGCCCGGTCCATTCTTCTTCTTCTTCTTCTTCTTCTTCTTCTTCTTCTTCTTCTTCTTCTTCTTCTTCTTCTTCTTCTTCTTCTTCTTCTCCTTCTTCTCCTTCTTCTCCTTCTCCTTCTTCTCCTTCTCCTCCTCCTCCTCCTCCCTCCTCCTCCCTCCTCACCTCGCAGCTTTATCCTCCCTGCAGCAGAATCTGTGCCTTCTGTCCCCCGGGTGCAGCCACGCGTGTCCCCAGGCTCTGCTGCTCTCAAAGGTCCGAGCACACGTGTTGGGTGTTGTGTCCTGAGGTTCCCCTGTGCCAGAGCACTGGATGGCCTTTACAGGGCAGCCACCAAACCCAGGTGTTTCACAGCTGGAGATGCAGCATCACAAATAAAACTGAGCTGGGCGAGGCAAGTGGGGGAAAAGAGCAGGTGTTTGACACCCCAAAGAGGGCTGGGAGCATACACTGCCTGAGCCTCCTGAACCCTCAGCAGGTAGGAGACACTGTACCAAGGAACAGAGATACACTGGAGGTCAGGGCTGCCATTCCAAGAGCCCTGAAGGCTGGGAAATGAGCTGGCAGAAGCCCACTGATATTTGATGGAGACAAATGCAAAGTTCTTTTTCTGGCATGGGACAATCCCATGTCAGAGAACAGGCACTGGCAGCAGAAAACTCTGTAAGAAGGGACCTGGGATGTTGTCAGACACCAAGGTGAAGCTTTCTGCCTTTCCAGGTAATGGATATAATAATTTTTGATTTTTGAAAAGGTGCAAGGACAAAAGCTGGTTATTTTAAAAAGAGATGTCTGACCAGGATGAGCCAAAAGGGTTCTGAGGGCTTGGCTGTGCCCGGGGTAAGTCAGAGGGCAGTGCAGGTACCAGCAGCTGTAAGTGCAGCTCACGGTGCTCACACAGCTGGGAAACAGAGGTGCAGAGGGACCTGGTTCCCAAAGATGCAGAGGGAATGGCTGCCCAGAAATGCAGAGGGAATTGCTGCCCAGAGATGCAGAGGGCATCGTTTCCTCCCATGAGACTCAGCCAGCACCCAGCAATGCCACCTCTGGCAGTGGCCCCATGAGATGGCAGCTCCCCTGAGGCTGCCACTAGACTCACACCCCCTGGGTATCCAAAATGGATGAGGACAGGGGCCCAGAGGGTGCTGGAGCTGTTGTTGGTCCATACAACACCACCCTTCAGTTCTTCCCAGGCAGCTCAAGGTGGGCAGCGCGTATCTGACCCTGTAGGGAGCCCCAAAGCCGCAGCCCTGTGCTGCTCAGGGCACAGAGAGAAAACCCAAAAGCTCCTGGGCTGGGTGCTGAGCTGCCAGTCCCACCCGTCCTGCCTGCTGTTCCCCGAGCAGCAGGACCAGCCTTGCCCTGATCCTGAATCTCCTGCCCTGCTCTTCGCTCTGGGATGCATTATTCCATGGAAACAGGGCAATCTTGGAACAACACAACATTAACAGGAGAGCTGGAGAGAAACCTGTGTGGGGGCAGGTGTTGTGGGTGGTAAGGGTGGGCCAGGGCAGCACCACGGCCACTGGCACCCAGGAACGGGCCAATTTGTATAATTAATTAATTCCTTACACCTTCCCCATGCGTACCTGAGCCCAGTGCTTCCACCTGGCATGGCTGCGTGGGGGAATAAACTGCAGGGTCTGTCCTCACCCAGGGTGGGCAGAGCTGGCCTGGGGCTCTGGGCACGCTCCTGCTTGTGCTCTGTGTGTGCACACCCAGCCCTGTGTGATTCCCCCTGTCCCTGCACACTCCCTGTGCTCTGAGCTGTCCCCTGACACGTTCTGCTCCTTGTCACTCCCTTTGGGGTTTCCTTTCAAGGCAGCTGCAGTCCCTCCCCAGGGCCCAGCACAGCCCTTCCTCACCAGGGTGCTGTGACCCTCAGGCCACCACCAGGGCAGGGCTGAGGCCCCCAGGTGCCCCCAGGTGCTGAGGCTGGGGCAGGAGGTGTTTCCAGGTGACTTCAGGAGCTTTAGGGATGTCAGTGTTTTGCCAAGAAGCGTGGGGGGCTTTGTTGGTGTTGGAGGCCACTTGAGCGGGACAGGGAGGGAACCAGGAGCACAGCTGTGGGCAAAGGCACCAACAGAGCTCTCAGGGAGTTAAAATAAAATCTCCCTGCTCCCAGGCACAGAGCAATAGGGACCAGCAAGAAAATCACATGGAGGTTTCTCCTGCGTTATCTAACTGGGGGTTTGGAGGTTTTCTCTGTGCCAAAGCTCCAGTCTTGGCATAAGCAGGACTCTGACAGAATCCAGTGTGGTGGAAATGGGTGTGCCTGTCAGCGTTCATGGAGATGAAGCTGGGCTGGAGGAATCAAAGCACACCCATGCTGTTTGTCAGTGGGATGGTGTTGCAGCAGGCCATTTGTCTCAGTGCAGGGAAGGCTCGAGACTTTCAATATGAGTGTTCAGCAAGCTCTGTTTATTGAAGAGAGCATCAGACACTTATACGGCAAGTAATAAGCTCATGAATATTCTATAATTTACACTGTCTATTAGCTACGCTACAACATCAGCTCTTTTTCATTCTTTAAAAGTTACATCTCTCTTTTCTCATATCTCTTTCACTATTTGTTATCATACTCCAGCTAAGCTCAAAGACACGCTATCTTGCAAGTGCAAGACTTAGAATTAGCCACAGCCTTATACTTTTCTAATTCTTAGTTACTCTCCCAACAGGATGGAGCCAGGGATGTCAGTGCCATGGTGTGGTCTAACATCACCAGCAAACATGATGGAGATTGCAGAAGTGTTGCTGTTTTTGCACTGAGCCCAGGAGTTCCCAGTACCTGCTATAACCAAGGAAGAGCCCTTCTTACACCTTCCTTGTTTGGTTTTGGTCCTTGCTGGCAGGACCAGCCACAGCCAGGCTGCCTGACAGTGCCTCCAGCTTCCCATGCCAGCCCCTGCAAACAGCTCCTGTCCCATGTACTGGTGCCACTGCTCCTCAGTGCAGGGACTCTGCAGCTCCCTCCTGAACAGCCCTGAGTGCTTCCTTCCCTTCAGTTCTGCTGCCAGGCTGTGGCTGCTCTCCACCATCTCCTCTGCCCTTGGGCCAGGTTGTGGAGTGAAATATTGGGGTTTTTTGTGTTCTTCCTTCCCTCCCCTTCTCCAAACCATAATATCAATCAGGAGCCATATGGGAATCCCTGTGTGGGTTCAGTGCTGTGCCAAGGTGCTGGAATGCTCTGGGCAGGGGCATTGCTGGGACAGGGCACTGGGTTGTGCCTGCTGGGATGTCACAGGCATCACAACAGGACACAGCAGCTTTGGTGGACACTGAGGTCACACAGGTGACAGGAGCTCCCTGCTTAGGTCCCCTTGGGGGCACTGGTTCCACTGGAGGGTGGTCCCAGCCCCAGGGAGACTCCTGGAGAATTTGATGGAGCAGAAACCAGTCTGGGA